CGATACAAGATTGGTGCAGAAACAAACGCTGTCTTCAAAGATTCAAAAGCAACTTCTGCTTCTTAATTCCATTGGAGTTTGTCTTTACAAGTCAAACGTGTAAGTGGAGCTGCAACTCGAGAGAAGTCTTTGATGAAGATCCGATAGTAGTTGACAAATCGCAAAAAATATTGGACATCTCTTATCGTTTTTGGAATCTTCCACTCTATAATAGTTTGAACTTTCTTAGGATCCATCATAAGTCCATCATTTGAAATGATGTAACCTAAGAAATCGACTTGAGTAGTGTGGAATATACACTTTTCTATGTTGGCATAGAGTCCTTCATCTCTTAATTTTTGTAACACACGACGAACATGAAGTTCATGTTCTTTTGGATTCTTAGAATAGATCAAGATGTCATCTAGATAACATACTACAAAATCATCCAAAAACTCTCAAAAAACATCATTCATTAGATATTGAAAAGCTGCTGGTGCATTTGTAAGTCCAAAAGGCATGACGTTGTATTCAAAATGTCCATACCTAGTTCGAAACGTAGTCTTCCATTCATCTCCTTCTTTCATGCGTACTAGATTGTATGCTCCCCAAAGATCTATTTTTGTATAGATCTTAGCTTGATTCAGCTGATCAAGAAGTCCGGATATTAAAGGTAGTAGATACATGTTTTTGATGGTAATCTTGTTGAGTCCTCGATAGTCAACACACATCCGCAATGATCCATCTTATTTCTTCACAAATAGAATTGGAGCTCCTGCCGAAGATTTAGAATGGCGTATGAAATTCTTGGCTAGATTTTCTTCAATATACTCCTTGAGTTCAGCCAACTCATTTTGTGATAAACTATAGATTGGTCCGAATGGCAGTTGTGCTCCTTCTTGAAGGTCAATTGAGCAATCATAGGGATGATGTTCCGGGAGTGTATCCGGATTCTTTTTTTCAAATACATCTTGAAATTCTTGATATTGGCTTGGAATGCCACTTGAAGTCTTTTCACCAATAAAAACGGGTGTAGCATAAATAATGTATGGTGATTCTTTCATAGCAACATGCAAGAAAGCTTTTGCACCTATAAATACGGGTTTAATTGAACTGGACTTATGACTCTCTACTTGCTTAACTACACTGTTAGTTATACTTTTAGAGAAAGAAAGAGTTCGAGAAATCCAGTCTATTTGAGGGTTGTATTTTTCTAACCACGATAAACCTAAAATGACTGGATTAGAGGGAGATCTAATGATATTAAATACTACAAAACTATTATGACCATTGATTATTACTTCTATAGGAAGGGTTTCGTGAGTAATATCTCCAGAAGACAATGGACGACCATCTATGACTTCTACATGAACAGGTTTAGTTTTCTTTACTAAAGATATGCTATGTCTTTTAGTAAATTCTTCATCTAAAAAACACGCTGAGGCTCTTGAATCTAACAAGGCAGAGACTTTGTAATGTTTAGGTCCTAAAATAACATTTAATGTAAAACAAAGAGAGGGCTCTGAGGAGAGAATAGGACCTTTACTAGAAGTTGTGCAAGGTTCCAGCCGCACGGTCCCTATTGTAGCTGGACAAACTCGTTTTCCGACATATTATCTTCTTTCACAGCCATACTCCTCATTTTGTGATTGCGTCGTTTCTTTGGACAATGTTGAGCAGTGTGCTTTGGTTCTCTACAATATAAACATAATCCTTCTTGACGACGACGAGTCTTTTCTTGCTCAGTAAGAGGTTTGAAAAGTACTGCATCAATTTGCATATCCTCTACTTCCGAATGTATGTGTTGAAGAGGTGTTGGTGTTACCATTGAATTATAGTAACGTTGAGGTCCACTTGTACGGTTCTCAGATCGGAATTCAAAAAGGTGATCGTCGCACTTCACAGCAAAGTCCATTGCTTGACTCAATGTTTGAGGATCAGGTAAGTTGAGCATTAATTTTTTTACCTCATATTGTAATCCGTAGAGAAATTGGCGAATAAAGGCAGCATCATCCCACTTGATATCAGTTGCAAGTTGTCGAAATTGTAAAGCATATAACATTAATGATCGATTGTCTTGTCGTAAAATACGGATCTTATTGGTTGCAACATGAATTGCATCATGTTCTCCATACATGGATCGAAATTCCGCCAAAAAAGCCTCTAAATTATCCAATATTGGATCTCGTCGTTCAAGAAAAGATGAAAACCACAATAGTGCCGAACCTCAAAGAAGCGTACCAATGAATCTAACTTGCGATCCCGGAGTTGGATAGCTTTGGGGTTGAAGTTCAATCACAAGTTGCACTTGATTGATAAATCCTCGAAATTTGGATCTGGTGCCATCAAACTTCTCGGATAGGGCAACTCTTGGTTCTCTAATATTTGAAAGGCGTTCCACTATAGGAGAAAGAACATGGTTTGGTGCAGATGTTGAAGCAGCTCCAACCATTTCTATATCTTCACATCCTGTCAATCTTGTTGCTTCTTGTGGTGGTAAATTGAGTTGATGCATTGCAAGCATTAACTCCCTCAATTGCTCTTGCATTTGTGCCATTGCACTCTTCATTTCAAGAAGTTCTGCCATAATAACACTTAAAAGAGAGAAGATGTCTAATATCACTCAAGACAACTAGAAGAAAGGACTTGCGGACAAAGGAAATACTAAGGACAATATCAGTTTAGAAGAGGGTAATCCGCAACTTCTAATACACTTATATCTTATCAAGAAAAAAGGGTAATCCACTCTTAATCAAGATTAGACAAAGCTCTGATATTGTAGGTGTACTCTTGTCAATCTATCAAGGACAAGAACTCGATGAAAAAATAATTCAGACAAGTGAACCTTCACTCAAAGAGAGGTAACAAAATATATATAAACAAGTATGTATATTGAAAGAGAAACTGGAATGGCTATTGCCAAAAGACAAGAAAACTAGAGACCCTTGAAACTAGACTAGAAGCAAGAAAGGAGTTGACAAGAGTGAAGAAGGCTTCACTCTTGTCTCTATATATACTATCTAACTAAGGGCTACGTGGTGACGTTCTATAGGACCTCCAATATGTATTGACTTTATAGGACACATGCCTTGACTTACAAGGCAAGTTTTTCTACGTGTGGGCCACATAGTTAGCTTGATCTTCAAGCTAACAACATGTGTGGCACATGGCCAACTTGTTGACCACGTTTCTAATCCAAAAAGTCAATTAAAGATACCTATGAAGTCAAAGCAGCATCTACGAAGCTTCTAAGAAGCTTCCATATTAAATATTATAGAATTAACTTATTTTTACCTACTTTTACTTACTTCTACCTATTTGTATGAGTAATTATTAGCTTACATGATTATGGCTGTGACAACACTCCCCTAATTGCAAAACTACTAACGTCTGTGTGCACTTCAAAGTCTTTATCAAAGTCTGGGTACCTTAGGACTCCATAACTAGTTAAGGCTTCCTTGAGTGTATCAAATGCTTCTTGGAATTTGACACTCCATTGGAATTTCTTATTGTCTTTGGTCAACAAATCCGAGATGGGTCCCGTAATCTTAGAAAAGCCCTTTATGAACTTTCTATAGTAGTTTGTCAGGCCCAAAAAGGCTCTAACCCCCTTTTGAGTTAGTGGTGCTTCCAATCTCCGATTGCTCTTAACTACTTTGATCCCTTCGTTATTACAAACATGACCAAGGAACTCGATCTCTTGAAGTGCAAACTCACTTTCTTCTGCATTGGCATAGAGTTTGTTATCCCTTAACTTTTGAAGCACTACTTCAATATGCTTAACATGCTCGTGTTTTGACTTTGAGTATATCAAAATATCATCAATATAGATGATCACAAACTTGTCAGTTTCTTGATGGAAAATCGAGTTCATCATAGTGGTTAAGGTAGCCGGGGCATTGCATCACCCAAATGGCATCTCCACGAACTCATACAATCCATACCTTGTTCTACACGCAGTCTTCTCAACATCTTCTTCAGCTATTTGAATCTAGTAGTAGTTACATTTCAAATCTATCCTTGTGAAGAACTTAGAGCCAGCTAACCTATCCATGAGGTTGTCTGTCCTCGATAGCAGATAGTTGTTCTTCATGGTGATCTTGTTGAGGCCTTGTAGTCTACACACATTTGGAGATTTCCATCATTTTTGCTTTCAAACAGAACTGGGGCTCCAAATGGCCACTTGCTTGGTCTAATGTAACCCCTAGCTAACAACTCAGTTAGTTGCCTTTTCAACTCTTCCAGCTCTTTCTAATTCTGTCTATATGGGGCCTTACTAGGCAGGGTTACACCCTGTACCAAGTCTATCTTGAGATCTACCCCCCTTCTTGGAAGTAGGTCACTTGGTAGTTCATTAGTGACCATGTCCTTAAACTTGTTCAACACATTCAAGACGGTTTGAGGTAGACACTTAAGATTTTGTTGAACAGTCACATTGTTTATAACACAATTTTGAGCCAACAAACAAAATGTGATACCAATTAGTTGCCCTTGGCTCACTAATTAAATTCTGAGGCCATTCAAACTAGGCTCGTGGGTATGGCTGAGGGCTTCAACCTTTCCTTATGTTGTCACCATCACCACTTCTAGTCTAGGTCTCCTTCTAATCTCAACTCCACAAGAGTCAAGAAACGAATTGCCCAATACAAAATCCACACCACTCAAGTCACACACTGTGAAATCCTCAATGGAATTGGTATTACTTACATCAAAGCTCAAGCCTAATACTACTTGTGTAGCAAAGTTTCTTCCTTGCACGAAAAATACTTCATTGCCCTTAAAAGTAAAAAATCTCCACTTACTATCAACCATCTCATTTCTTCACAATTTGTAAACAATTTATCAAAAACAGACTGCACTGCAAGGTGGTTCATAATCCTTTCGGAATATATTTTCAAAATGGTCCACATTCTAAACAAAACCAGGTAATTGCAGAACCTAACTACAGATAACAGTATTCCAGCCAACTGCACTCCGTTGTGATGCATAACAATCAAAACAACAGCCAAAAACGAACCATAGTTGTTGAACTTGTGGATCCACCCGTCATTATTGTCAAAATTGTCCAACGTATAAACCACATTGACCACCATCTCCTATGAGGAACCAAGATTGCAGAGATGGTGTTACAATTTCTGAATTAAAAGGTGCATGCACAAACACTTCAACCAATTTTGCACCAATATCCTAACCGCGAAAATCATTTCCCTGCCCAAAACATCCCTCCTTCCTCCCCACAACCGCCGCCTCAAACTGGAGAAAAAAATTCGTAAATTAAGCTCTTGCAGTCCCGAGCAAAATCCCTACCAGATCCTATACATCATCAATCAATCGAGTCCCGCTCGCGTACATCTCTCGCGCTCGAAATGGGTTCTACCTACTCTGATTCTGCTGCCCGACCCGGCCCCGCGCCGATCCCATTGCCCGTCGGCCTTGCCCAATCCCTACTCTACAAAACCCTACCCTCATCCGCCTACTTGCTGTCGGTGAAATCCGCATCGATCACGTCGTCTCCTCCCGCAGCCGGCCCCGAGCTGCTCCCTTGCCCGCCTGGCGCGCCTCCCTCGGGCGCGCCTCCGGCTCCGGGCTGGTTGTACAAAGACTGTCCTAGCTGCATCACCTCCTGGTTCAAAGCTGCCATCGCGTCCTTCATGCTCTGTGTGTTGTCGCTCGCGATCGCATCCTTCAATTCCTTCAGCTTCGCTTCCACCTTGTCCTTCACCTCTGCTGGCACCTTGTCCGCCAACTCCTTCAGCTGCTTCTCCGTTTGGTACACCACTGAGTCTGCCTGGTTCTTCGTGTCCACTGCGTCCCTCTTCTCCTTGTCTTCCTGCCCGAACTTCTCCGCCTCCTGCACCATTCTCTCCACCTCGTCCTTGGGCAGCGTGCTGGCTCCTGTGATCGTGATGTCCTGCTTCTTCCCCGTGCCCTTGTCCATGGCGCTCACTGACAAGATGCCGTTCGCGTCGATGTCGAACCGAACCTCCACCTGCGGCACGCCCCTGGGAGCCGGTGGAATGCCGTCCAGCCGGAAGCTTCCCAGTGACTTGTTGTCCCTCACGAACTCGCGCTCTCCCTGCAGCACGTTGATCTCCACGCTTGTCTGACCATCGGCGGCGGTCGAAAACACCTCCGACTTCGACGTCGGCAGCGTCGTGTTCCTCGGGATGATCTTCGTCATCACACCCCCCAGCGTCTCCAAACCCAGAGACAGAGGCGTCACGTCCAGCAGAACAATGTCGCTCACTTCACCAGCCAAAACACCGGCCTGCATTCAACACCCCCCGTCCTTCTCATTCGTGCTGCCCACCCGCAACAATGACAACGCACGCACACACCACCAACCCCGACACCTCTTGCTAAACCACCCACTCAACCCCCGCTCCGCTCGCATCCCCACTCTCCCTGCCTCCACATCCGCATTCCACACGCCCCTCACCCACGCCACTCCACTCCACTCCACTCCACTCAACTCAACTCCGCACCCACGTCACGTACCTGCACGGCGGCTCCCAGAGCAACCACTTCGTCGGGGTTCACCGTCACGTTCGGGTCTCTTCCTGTGATCCTCTTCACCAACTCCTGCACGGCTGGTATTCTCGTCGAACCGCCCACCAGAATCACCTCGTTCAGATCCTTGTACGACAACTTCGCGTCCCTCAGCGCATTCTCCACAGGGGTCTTGCACCTGTCCAGCAAGTCCGAGCACAGCTCCTCGAACTTCGCCCGAGTCAGCGTCGTGTCGATGTGCTTCGGCCCGTCGGCTGTTGCGGTGATGAACGGCAAGCTGCACCAAACCCATGCCACCGCGCGGTCAGCAACCGTCCAAACGCAATACCCACAAATCCTTCCCTCCCAGACTCATCCGTCACCCCCAACAAATCCACCCCACGAACAACCCTACCGCGCTCCACCACCCATTCCACTCCCCAATCCACCGTGCCATTCGCACCCGCCCACACGCCGTTCAGCCCCCGTCACCACCCTCACCTGATGCTCGCCTGAGACAGAGAAGACAACTCCATCTTCGCCTTCTCCGCGGTCTCAGTCAACCTCTGCAGGGCTTGCTTGTCCTTCAGCAGGTCCACTCCCTCCGTCTTCTTGAAATCGTCGGCCAGCCAGTCCACGATTCTCTGCACCACCCCCAAAACACCTCCACCCATCAGCACCACACCCACCCAAACATCAAATCGCACCAATTCTTCTCCCCCACGCCTCCACATCAAACTGCGCCCCCCACCAATGCGCCGCAACCAACATGCATTTGCACACACTTCCGTCCCCACTCCAGCTCACCTTGTCGAAGTCGTCGCCTCCAAGGTGCGTGTCACCAGAAGTTGACAGCACCTCGAACACTCCATCGCCCACCTCCAACACGGACACGTCGAACGTTCCACCCCCCAAATCGAACACCAAGATGGTCTCGTTGGCCTTCCTGTCGAAACCGTACGCCAGCGACGCCGCGGTCGGCTCGTTGATGATTCGCAGCACGTCCACTCCCGCAATTCGCCCAGCATCCTTCGTCGCAGTCCTCTGGGCGTCGTTGAAGTACGCCGGGACCGTCACCACGGCCTTCGCGACCTTGTCGTTCAAAAACTTCGAAGCGTCATCCACCAATTTCCTCAACACCTGCACTCACAACATTCCCAAAACCCCACAATCAGACCCTCCTCTTCCTCCTCCTCACCCGGAAACACCCATTCCTCCCGCCACCTCCACGCCCCCCTCGCCAATCCCAATACCAATTCACGCCCACCCGCCCCTCCGCAATCTCCACCACACACGCCCTACCTGAGCAGAAATCTCCTCCGCCGCAAACGTCTTGCCGATGGCCGGGCAGTCCAGCTTCACATTCCCGTTCGAGTCCCTGATCACCTGGTACGACACCTGCTTCGCCTCGTCGCCCACTTCCGCCATCTTCCGCCCGATGAACCTCTTCACCGAGAAGAACGTGTTCGTGGGGTTCACCACGGCCTGCCGCTTCGCAATCTGACCCACCAGCCGGTCGCCGTTCTTGGTGTACGCGACCACCGAAGGCGTGGTGCGCTGCCCCTCGGCGTTCGTCACGATGGTGGGCTTGCCGCCCTCCATGGCAGCAACGGCCGAATTGGTGGTGCCCAAATCAATCCCCACCACCTTCTCCGCCACAACCCGCATCGGACCGGCGGCACGCCTCGCCTGCCCACCGGACTTGGCCCTCAGCTTCTCCACGCCGAACCCCGCGCGACTCTTCACGTCGCCCCCGAAGAACGCATTCCTGCGCGTGCTGAACGCCCCGTCGTTCCTCCGAGCTCCCCTCCTCGCGTCCGCGCCCGCCACGGCTCCCACCGACCCCACGGCAGCGGCCATCGCCTGCGCGTTCATCACGGACGCCATCGCTGCCTCGCTCACACCCGGACTTGTCCTTGCTCCGTTCGCTCAACCACTGAGAGCTTTCTCGAAAATTTCTGAAACCGAGAAACTGCACGTAGGAAGCGCACAGCGAGTCGGAGCGATTGCAAACGCAGAAGCTTGGGGTGGTGACGCTGCGATGCAAGCCCTAGCGCTGTGGCTGTGGGGGAGTGCGCTCAAGATGTGTAAACCCAGAACCCTATCCTTCCAGAAGCCGTCTTGACAACTCCGAGAAGCTTGGCCCCGAGAAACGTGAACCGCGACCTCGCGTCCGTCCGTCCGTGTGAAGGGGGTTGTTTTTCCGAAGGGACCCGACCTTTCGAGGGCTTCTTTATCTATCCACCCTCTCTCTCGCTCGCTTGCATGCGCGGGTGGATGTGCACCACACGATGGGAACGCCGGGATATGCCGCCGGGTGGGGGGAGGGGCCTTCGCTCCCAAGCTTCATTGCACTTGTTCCCCAGTTTCACAACCTGTTCCCTCGCCCCCCCCCCCAACGCCCCGATGACTTTTGTTGTTGTTGTGTGTGCGTGTGTGTGTGTTTTTTTTTTTTTTTTTTTTTTTTTTCCGGGCAACGTCGAATGCTGCCCAGGTCCGTGTTTGGATAATGCTATCCACAATTTTCTCCTTCGCAGGTGTGAACGCAGGTTCCAGACTTGAGCACTGTGGATTTGCTCGATGTTTCCGCAAAACAATTCCATGGGATTCCATGGCCAGGGGACTATTCTATTCAATTAAATACGTCGCCTCATGTTATTTTATTTTTTCATGATGTTTCTATAATCGTATCACCACTCAGACTCATTTTTCCTTCACCTTATTTGTTTGCCTTTGTTTGTATGTATACGTTCATTTGCATTTACTAGCAATAGGATTCCTTCATTTCAGAGTAATATGTCCAATCGGATCATTCTAATAATTTTGTTATGCAAAAATACATGCACCACAAGAACAAATCACAATGCTTACACATGTAATCAAGAGTTTTGCAATCATTTTTTGTTAGTGTTTCTCACAAATCAAATGAAATTGGTTTGATTGAAAATAAGATTTACAAAAAATAAAGACTAATGAAAGATAAAACAGAAGGAAACCTGGATGACAAAGGAGTTCCAAGTGAAAACCTATCAATAAAATAAATAATAAGGACTCTTACATTTGCAAATATTTCAGCATATATGTATGTAGAAGGAGAGTGAAAAAAACAATATGAGATACAAGCAGGTGAATATTATGGTCTTGGTATGTGTTGTATCATCAAAGGCCACACAATAAGAATATTGATCTTGCAAATTTAATGCCATGGAAACAAAAAAAAACCCAGTGGGGGACCAAGTAGCTGGATTTTTATTATCTACAACATCTGTATATAGTTTACATCAATTGTATCTACCCAAGTCTTTAAACAGCACTAGACTTGGTAGGATTTATCTCATTAGAATGTCCATTTTTGCATCATGTGATGGAAACAGCACATTATCATCAATGTGTGAGGCCCAACACACACATTTAGTATGAGTGATTAGCATTTACTGTTGGACCTTCTTTTATTTAAGTCAGTAGAAATTAGAGTCAGAACTATCCTTGTAATAGTTACAAGTGTCAGGATTGACATCAACTACATCAGCACAACAAGACAACAATGTTGATTTTGTATTTCATCAACTCTTGTTGCAATCTTTCTGCTTGAGTTATTGGAATGTAAAGGCTTGTAAAGCTATGAAAGATTGAATGTAATGTAGGAAATCAACATAGTGGAGCATGGGCATGTAAGATTTGTTAGGTGTTGGATAGAACAATGCAATTGTGTGGTATTTTCAAAATTGTGTTCACTCAAATTGTATGGCAGTTGACCTTCTTTGCATATATGTATGTATGTATGTATATGTTGTTTTGTATATACATGTATCTCTTACATAAATCAGTTCAACGAGAATAAACCAATGGGATAAACCAATGGTGACAAAAACCATCTCTAATTGTTTTTACAAAAGTGAAACAATAACTCAACTTTTGATCAATCAAAAATCAAAATTTGTATGCAATTGCTAAAAATTGATGAGAGTAGCATTGCAAGATCATTGCGCATGGAGCTTGGAAGCTCTCAATTGTAATTTTTTGTTAATAATTTATAGTAAATAATTTTTGTGGCTAGCTGCATGGATTTCCACTAGTTAGTGTATATGTATGTATGTATGTCTGTATATATATATATATATATATATATATATAAATATAATAATGGAAGGCTTTATTTAAAAATAATATTATTAAAGGTATTTTATCAAGATACGACATTATAGAATATAGTTGGAAATGACCACATAAATAGTGTTATATAGATGTGTATTAACATTTTTATGTGTCTAATAATCTTGTAAACATATAATATAATAAAAATTATTAATTACATGGAATAACATGTGCTCTTTTTAACATACAAAATTATTCATGTATATTTTCATTTATACTTATATAACTAATGAAATTACTAATTTTTATATGGTACCATGAAATTGCTAAACTGCCAAGAATTTGATATACAACTATTTCAATCTTCTAATCTTGGATGTGGGTGTATTTTACATTCCACAATGAAGCATTGCTCAATCATGTTTATGACATATTAGCAAGCTACAGAGTTGTGGATCATGTACGCAGACTTTTACAAGCCATGTGATGCACAATGTGTGTCATTTGCATGTACACTTGAGCTTCTAGAGGTTGCAATGTCTTGTAAGTAGCAACAACTTTGGATTTCTCAATTTGTCATCATATTTAGCATACAGCTCAAGCTGATCCACATGTATTGTACAACCCACACATTTGACAAAGTGATGAATCATCAATTATTATTGGACTTTCATGTTTATGAATTAAATTGATTAGTAGATGGATGGACCATAATTGAAGAGACATTCAAAAATCATCAAGTGAACCATATCAAGATATAGAGCCTCCAAACTTAGTTCTTTGTCCCTTTTTGATACACCTCTACACCAATGAATTTAGTCTTAAAAGGTATTGTTCTAAGAGATCAATGGTGTGATAGTGGTTTGCAAGCCTTACTTATATGTCAATGAATTAATCAGCTTAATTGTAAAAAAATAAATATTGGATTTTTATGTAATGAGGTTGAATTGTTTCTAACAATTTTAGCCAAATTGAAATAAGCAACATTATCACAAATGTATTATCATTGTTATAGATTAGGTTTGCTAATCGACTGATATAGGAACTATCTAAGACTTGTAACTCACCTAACATTCTTATGTTCATAACAATGGATGAAGTTGATTCATGTATCTTATGATGTAAAAGTCCATGATATTGTAGATGATTTATAAGACAAAAGACTAGTCACATAATTTCAATGTGGTAGGAAACAATCAAGATCTTTAATTTAATGCAATTATTTTTTATTGAGTTTTTTTTTTTTTTTTTTTAGAATTTAATTCAATTTATTTGTCATAGTTTTAGAATATAAATACAATAATATGTTGGAATTTAATATTTGCAGATGTATTCATATTTGAATAGATTAAAGTTGACTTTGAAAATATTTTATGTTTTAAAATTTATTGGTTTATTTTGTTGTTTCTAGCCATATAAAAGCTTATATCATTTTTTCTTATTAATTTGGATTGTGATGAAGTAAGTTTGTATTTCAAGTTAAAATGATATTTTTAATGAGTTTTATTTTTTATTTTTTATTTTTATTAAGATTTATACATGTAAAAAATAATGTTTATCTTAAAATATATCTTTTTTGTTCTTTAATCTCTTCTTTATGTCTTATTTTTGTCTCATAAGGCTTTGTGAAAGTTGAAGTATTCCATTGATATCATTTGCATCAAAGTAGAACTTAGCTTACATATGATGAACATTTTTTCATTGTCGCTAGAATTGTAACTTGATGATCTTAGCTTCAAAGTTCTTTTCATTTGAAGTTGAAAATCCTAAAGGTCTTCATGAATCTTTTTTTGAAATATTTTATGACTTAAACTTTAAGACTTGTTAATGTATTAAAAATGTATAATATAATGACAAGTAGAATGTCAATTGTTATTTTTTTATTATGATTTCTCTTATAATGTTTACAACATAATTTTTAGCTATTTATATCTGACCTATAATAAGATTTTTAGTACTATTTGGTCTTATTAAAACTACTTTGTTTCTAACTACCTTAACTATCTAAGGCAGCTCAAAGACCTTGTCTTTTATAACACATAGGTAGTTAACCACTTTATCTATTCAAACTAGCTATTTAACTTTTTTCTTCTAATTTTTTTACATTAGTTCTTCTACTTCTTCTATTAACTTCTTTCTTACTTAGTCTACTCTTCTTGTTTTGATTTCTTTTGATACTATTTTTTTTTTCTTCTTCTTATTTTTTTTTTCTTGTTTTGAGTCCTTTTCATACCACTATTTTTTTTTTTAATTCTTTTCTTCTTATTTTAAATTTTTTAACTTCTTAATAATATTTTTAAAAATTACATCTTTCAAAGAAATTTAAATATTTTTATATTAGATTAAATAGTAAGAATAATATCTTGCATTAATACTCCCCTAAAACATATTTGATTAGATTAGATTCTATTTCTTCTTCTTTATTCTAGTCAATCTAATTGTCACTTCAAGAAGGATTTTGTAGTCCAAATAGCTTACAAAAGAATAGTTGAGATAACACAATACCTTTTTATATACTTTTTTTAAATTAAAAAAATTGAATGTTGAAGAAATTATCAAAAATGACATTTTCTTGTTTGCATACACAACATTCACAACACCACTTAGAATTGGTGCAATAGAGTGTAAGTGAATTTGAAAGCCTTCTTTATATAACTTAAAATTTAAGTTTTATCATATAAAAGTCTTTTTTTACTAGTGCTTCTTGTTTAAATCTTATTGCTTAATATTAAAAAAATACAAACCATTGAAAAGTTTAGATCAATTAACTAGAGTTTTTACTTCTCCACAAAAAAATATGCCATCTAAATTAGAAAACTTGAAGAACTAAATACATGTAGCTATGAAGTTCCTTCCTTTTCAAATAAGCATGAGTTGCCATATCCATTGACTTCTAATCCAACTTAAAATCTTACATAGTTTGTCACTATTTATGCTATCAACTTCTAAGATTCAATATATGGCAATCAGTAATAGACTTGACTATCTTTCTACAATCTATTTTCTAACTATATTAATATGCATAATACTTCTAATACATTAGTAATTCATCAAAATTCATGTCATCCATCATAGTGCATTTATTCATTTGAATATAGTTGGCTTTGAATCTCTACAATTGTTGTTCAACATTCATTGTCTCTTCTTTAAATTTTGTACTCTAAGGCATTCTTTCACATAACTTCTATTGCTTAGAACTACCAAATTTCTAGCCTAATAGTAAGTATCAAGGATATGAATCTAGAGGAAAGAAAATCCTTAATACACTCTTGTATCATTGAAAGAAACTAGAAAGTCATTCAAAGATGATATAATATTGAACTATAATGGCTATTGCCAAAAACAAAAAGACTAGAAAGTCTTAGAACAAGACTAATGACTAGAAAGGCATTGACAAGAATGAAGAAAGCTTCACGCTTGCTTCCATATATACTCTCTAACTAGGAGCTATATGACAATATTCTATAAGACCTCTAACATGTGTTGACTTTGCTAGCCACATGTCTTAACTTGTAAGGCAAGTTCTCTATATATGTGCCACATAGTAAGCTTGTTCTACAAACTACTACACTGAGTTAACTTATTTCATAAGCTACCAACACGTGGTTAATTTGTTGGCCAAGTTTCTAACCTACAAACACATCTAAAGTCGAAATTGCATCTAAAAAGCTTTTGAGAAGCTTCTCTAAAAAACTTTATGAAATTAATCTATATTTATATATTTCTACCTAATCATATAAGTAACTATTGGAATAAATATATATGTCCGTGACAGTAAGTCTTCACTCCTTTAGTTACTTTGCACTAATTCTTAGCAACCATAATTGTCCTTCTTATCCAATAATAAGCTCCTTCATTGGACTTGGTCCACCATGATACAACTAACTTATGGTAGCATTCAAATATGCTTTGTCCTAATTACTCTTAATTCTCTCTTAAACCATTGAACCTTCTTCTAATCCAAATTCTTTCTTTATTTAATGATTGTTAATCAATTATTCATAATTTCTTCTAATAGTTAGTTCTTTTTGTCTACTTTATTTTCAAATAAGTACTCATAGCCAAGCCATCTACTATTCAACTATCATTCTTAACCTTACAATCAATTTAAAGTGATTGGACATATTCATGGACCATCAAGATTAACGCCACACCAGTTTTTTCAAAAGATTTTCAACATACTTTAATTGGTAGAGATTGCAAATCTCAATAAATTATAGCTTAAGCTGCATAAATAATAATTGTTTAAAAAATCAATATCCTGCACTTTATCATAAATCTTTAATTATTCGAGTTGTTGAAAATAAATTTTGAAAATTTAAAAGAAAAATTTAAATTTTGCAAAGTATGAGATTTTTGTAGAAAATATTTCTATTATTAAAATGTCAAACATAAATCTGCAATGATGGCTAACAATTTTTTGAATATCTCTAAGGCTCAAGAGTTTATGATTGAAAAATTTGAACATGTTTGTTATAATTTCTAATTATTACTTTTTGAATGTTGTTTAAGTTCAATTCAGATATTTCATTAAATAAAAGGTTCTATAAGATGCAATAAATTCAAAATGACAACAAAGATGAATGAATTTGAAATCCATTTTCTGCTATTAATTGATATTTAGGATATATTTTCAAAAGAGATATGAGAAAGTATCATATGTCCAAATAAGATGACTATTTAGTATTTGAACACCATTGGAATTCCACTAATGATTTGTTTTTACATATGATGGATCTTCAAATGACACAAGGGTTTTTGTGAAGAAATTTTGTAATGAAGTATATGGTACTCCGTGTAAAACTGATTGAGAAGATTTAACATTACAAACCAGTGTTCCATCTTTCTTTTGAACTTTTGTAAATATATCACTAAAGCTTTTTTGACTGTGATATTTTGCAATTTATCAGGTACTAAGATGAAGAGGCCACATTGATTTATTTATTTTTGTTTCGTATTGTTCATGACGTACTTAATGTTGAATTTAAAAGCCTGTATACAAAAATTGAGCCACTAGGATACTAAAAAGTAAAAATAAAAATAAATCCTTTGCCTTATTTGTCATTTAAGTGTGACATATTGGTACTTGATAGTGAATTAGATAATCATGTGGCTGCAACAGATTTTTGTTTTCAAATGCCACTACTTCATAGAAAGTATGGTGGTATGAAGTAAAACCAAATAAACAGGCTTTCAATATACGAATGTTCGCAGTCCAATAACAATTTACTACAATATCAGTGAGCATTTATTTGAACGAAAACGATGCTAAAAGGTTACCGTTGTTTCCCACATTAAAATGCATATAGAATGTTATAAAGCATATTTAGTAGAATTCTTAACATACTGGAAAAAGTCAAGACTCATATAGACACGAGCTTTGATACGACTGCATGATTGAGATGTACATTAGAGTCACTTGTCGTCTTTCAAATACTTCTGATTTGCACCAAACATTGTAAGATGTATCATCACTCAATTTTCTGAAAACACGAAAAAAAGATATAGAATCCATTTACAAAGAATCTATAAAATATTGTGACCAGAATGGGTAGCAGAGAAAAAAGGTCCGAGTAGGTGTTCACATTTACCAGATTTATTGGTTTAGGAGTTACTGTGTCTACAATCTCAGGATGCGATATGTCAAAGTACTACCAAGGGACCTTCCCTCATTCCACTTTGCTGCAAAAGTCGGAATTGATGGCGCAGTGGATACTCTAACAAGGAGCCGCCACAATCAGCTGGATGTGAAACCTCCGCAGTTGCAAAATAAAAACACCCGATTTGCAGAGGAAATGGAGACTGCTATGACACAAAAAGCAGATGACGTACTGCCAAACAGAGCACAGACCAAAGTTTCATCGACGAAAACTCTTCGCAACAAACTCAATTTAGAAAATTCCCTCGAGATAAGTCTCGGCACAGATTGTTGTGGTGACGGAGTAACAAAACCAACACTGTTACAGAATTTAAAACAACTGAAAAAAGGGTAACTGTAAAAAAAAAGCGGCATCATTCTTCGCGTTGGAAGGATCACTCGGTCAGTCTGTCTATTTGCAATCAATCACAACCTTAAGCAACAGCTTGAATTCCAGCACTTATAGCAGCGTTTAGCAGCCGTTCTTTCATAAGCCTGCACTCACCACTGTCGCTGAGCCAACTGCATACCTGCTCCCAACCCCTGACACCAGAAACAAGTACCCGATGAAAAGTTAGAAGGTTGCAAAACTACTTCCATAAAACGGCTTGCAATTACATGTATTCAAAAGATAAACACAGTGCAAAAGTAGTAAACATAAGATCACTTAAGAACTCCCAATTCTAAATTAATTAAGACAGATTTGAAAAGGCAAAACGATCATAACAAATCTGCGTTTCATACCTGAAGAACTCCAACGGATGTCGACTATAAATTGTATTTGTTTGCATTCATCTAACACTACCCTTATCAAGTTCTACGGAACCACCTGCATGACACAGATTGGAAAAAAGTGAGCACCCGAAAAATGACAATTATTCAAAGAAAACTAAAACTACGAAACCATCAAAGAAAAAATTGTTTCCACGAAGGAGATGCAAAATGTTCTTTCTAGTTGATTTGGACTCGGCTAGTACTGTATTACATTTCAATGTTTTCTTGGGCTTTTTTTTTTGTGAAAACACCCAAATCTGGCACATACTAATCAAGAAGAAGAGGCTCGAAATTGTGACCATTCTTAAACTACTTCAAAGCGCCACCCCAAAATATTACTTCTTGGCAGGCTCGTAAATTATCAAATAAACTTTTGAAATGCGTCGCTCATTCATTCTAACCTCTAGACTATTCCTTACACTTCCAATTCTATTGAAATTAAATCTACAATTTTATTACTGTTGTTGTTAACGCATTCAACTCGAACGATCATAGTTCATCCAACCAAGATCATAAGCACTGCTAGAGAGTTTGGTACTTCTAACTAATTTCGATGTGACACTTCTGTGTAGCTTGCTAAAAATCGTATCAGGTAAATTTTTTGAATAGTGGAACTCACCTAAATATGAAGAGATGAGAAATCAGAAAGCTGAGGAAGTGATGAAGCAGAGGACCTAATAGAGGCATTTGCCAACCCCTGTAGCATCTTGATTACCTCCCCAACATCATCCAAATAGTACTTGGCTTTACTGGGTTTCTGACCCACAGTGCATGCAAATACCTCGGCACTGGGGGCGCCACGCATGAGGGATTCAATGCTCTCAAACATGTCCTCATCTGACCGATCGTCACCCACACACAGTACCATGTCTGGCAAGGCTCCATTCTTCTTCTCCATCATTAATAGCAACTTCTCCACCATAATTCCCTTACTCACCCCCTGCAATGCAAAACATACACGTTCATTAATGCTTCGAACGCACTAATCCGTCCATTTTACGCTTCATTGAGAAATTATCAACCGTATGCAAACAGATGTCACAACCAATAAGCCAATATTCGATCTTCGAGTATGTCTACTTATGTAATGTTAAGTACCTGAGGTGTAACTTCCACAATTTGCGCACCACTCTTCACCGTGACTGGCTCATTGGCTAGTACACTTTCAAGGTGATCTTGCAACTCTTTAGCCTGCCAAGCTCCAAAGTCATGGTCTGCATCTCGATAATGCCACACCAATGCACTTTCTTTGGCCTCAATATAGGAGCCATCTGTTGACTCGGTGTAAAGTTGCATGACTGGCCCTGCAATCAGTTTCCAATCAAAGCTCGTGGACGGCGCTTCACGCTCAACAACACTCAACCGATCCCACTCTGAAACACTTTGTGGTCTACAAGTATCCCAATCCGAGTCCCGTCGCCACCTATGTAACATTCCAGATAGTAGCAAACAAATTCAGTCAGACTACAAACATGAGAAAAAGCACCACAGATGCTAAAAGGCAACACAAAAATAAGAAACTCAAAATATCCCCAAACGATTATCTCGCTACACCTGGAAAAGAAAAAAGTAAATGAAGAAACAAAAGAAGCTTGAATTAATGCAGAGAATTGTCAACTTTGTACCTGTAAAAGTATCCATGTTCAGCAGCAAGACCAAGTAACTCGCAGGAACTAAACCATTCCCCAAGCTTATTCCGTGGACGCCCACTTACGATGAAAAGTGTGTTCTTTGGGTCGTTGCAAAGCGTATTTAAAAGATCCAAAACCTCGGGACTAGGACTCTCTTCGTGTGATGTAGGCATCACTGTACCATCATAATCCAAAAGTAAGGCTCTGGTGGCACTCTTCCCGTATGCTCCGACAATAAGTTCGGTGCGCAACTTCTTAAAGCTCGGATCCAGAGCTACGATCCGGAAACCTAATCCGAACCCAATCCCATAGCACCGGCGTTTATTGTGATCGCGGCAAGTTCTTTCCAAATCCGACGTGTAGGTTTTGGCCCAGTACGCAACATCATGCGTACTAACATACCTGTAATGCTTCTCATGGCGCAGGTGTTGCTCTTGCTCTTTCATCGTGATCGCACTATTCATAGCCTCTGCAACCATCTCAATGTTCCAGGGATTAACCCGAATGGCACCACTCAGAGATGGCGAGCATCCGATGAACTCAGACACTATCAACATGCTTTTCTTGACAGATGATTCTTCAAGATAATTTTCCGATTCTGACATCTGAGGAGCTCCTTCCCTACATACGATGTACTCGTACGGGATGAGATTGAGCCCATCACGCACTGCCGTCACAACACAGCACTCTGCGATGGTGTAATACGCAATTCGCTCAAACAGGGGCACGTGCCTCTCCTCCAAGACAATCGGGGTATAACGCTCATTCCCAAACTCTTCATTCACTTTTTTGGCTATAGTATAGGCCTCTTCACGAGCTTCGTCAATATCTTTGCCACTACCCCTCGCAGGATTAGCAATTTGTATCATGACAACCTTCCCTTGCCACTGTGGGTGTTGCCTGAGAAGCTCCTCCATAGCCAAGAACTTCAGCCCAATGCCCTTGAAAATGTCCATGTCATCTACCCCAAGAAGAACCGACATTCCCTTGTACTTTTCCCTGATCTCACCAATACGCCACTTTGTATCAGCAAGCTTCAAGCTTGCATCGAACTGACCCATGTGGATACCGACGGGCATAATTTTGATGCCCACGGTGCGGCCATAATATTCTAACCCAATGTGCCCCCGCTTAGATGCGTACTCCAGACCTAACATACGGCTGCAACATGATAAAAAGTGCCTCGCATAATCAAATGTATGAAACCCTATCAAGTCTGCATTTAATAGAGCTCTAAGTATCTCGTCACGCACCGGCAGCGTCCTGTAAATCTCGGACGAAGGAAACGGGCTGTGCAAAAAGAAACCGAGCCTCACTTTATTGAATCGCTTACGCAAAAAAGTGGGCAAAACCATGAGATGGTAGTCATGCACCCACACATAGTCATCGTCGGGACTAATCACCTCCATCACCTTGTCGGCAAAAATCTTGTTGACGGACACATATGCTTGCCACCATGAGCGTTTGAATCGACCCCCATGCTCAGGACTGAGAGGTAACAGATAGTGGAAAAGGGGCCACAACATCTGCTTGCAAAACCCATGATAAAACCTACTTTTCAGTTCGTTGGGTAGAAAAGCAGGAACGCAATTAAAATTTTCCAGGAGCATGGCCGCAATCTCGTCCTGATCAGCGTCTTCCACCTCCACCTTCAAACAGCCTACATAGATAACCTCCATTCCAGGCCGCAATCCATCTCTAAGCTGCCAAAGCAACGAGTCTTTGTCCCACTCGAATAAGTAGCTATTCCCATTCGGATGGGGCACAGCGTTCAATGGCAACATGCGCGCAACGACAAGCATTCGACTCCCCTCCGACATTACCGAAGCTTCAGTACTGAAGCCCCCGCCGCCGTGTTCGGTGGACCTATCATCATCATACAATGCTCCGCTAGGTAACCCGGGCAATCTGCTTGCGGTCAACGAGCGGTCATTGATTCGTCGCCTAAAGCTCACGGGAGAATCGGCGGGTGTCATGGAATCCTCATTTAGATCCAAAAGATTGCTATACGACCGTGACATCATTGTAACACCTCCAAAAAAATCCTGTGTAGTTCACCTCCGCTTCATCACACTCGACACCCGCAGCGCTAACTAGGACAGCGTAGGGTTATCAATCCCTTAGCGCGCGTCGTCCTACACATCAACACAGCTGAACGCACAAAACTACTATCTGTTCGTCCAAGGCCATCCAGGTAAAAACCTACAAGGGCACAGAAGCACATACCAACTACGCCACCAGCACAGAGTTCAGCACACGAGCGCACGCGGTCGGTGCACCCCGTCGCCCTCCATGAGAGAGGCAAGCAGCCAATCCTCCTGCTCAACTCCAACGTCGGCACACAAGAAGGTGGCCAGATTCTCTAATCCGGATAACACCCGAGATCCAACCTCAAACCTAGATCCCGCCCCTTCAAACAACTCCCCAGAATGCGGTAGGCAATTATCTCTCCTAAAAAAGTCGCATCGAAACTACCAGATTGATTAGACCCTTGCCCCCTAGAAGACAAACCCGGGCACAAACTCAATAGTGGTAAGGCACCAAAAGACAACCGCACCCGAGGAAAAGAGAGAAAAGGAGCGAGAGCGGAGGTTAGAGAACTGAAAGAAGGAGAAACCCTAGCACCAGCACCTCTTTACGCCGATGACTATTCATCCTCCACACAACAAGCCCCGCAAAACCAACCCCTCTCTCGATCGCAAGATGCGCGGTGGAATGAATTGGTAGAGTGAAGAAGCTGCACGACTCTTCGGAATATACTCCAAAGGCGAACCTCCCTCGTCAGTCCCCGTGGTTGATTGACGGTGAGGTTGCTGGATGGAGAGGATCAAGCGCAAGCGTAGACGGAAGTTGCGAGAGCGAGCCACAGAGAGGGGACGAGGAGAGAGAGAGGGGAAGAGAGAGAGCCGGGGATGGTGGAAGGGGGAAAGGAGCGTAGAGTTGGAAGACGACGAAGAGGGGGGGGGAGGGGGGGGTGTGTCAAGCGCCAGACGCAACAACTACAACTCCACCACCTCCACCACCTCCACCACCAACGGGAAAAGGAAAGCGAGCATTCTGCGCGGGCACCGGGGCCGCTTGCGGAGAGCGGGGAGAGGCAACACAGGCAGGCAGGCGAGCGGGCGGGCGCGCGGAAGGGCTGCGGGGGGGGTCGGGTGGGGGTTGTGCTGCGCTAGTGCTTCGTTGCTTTCGGATAAGATTAGCTGAGCTGTTCTCTGTTCACCTCCCCCGCCACGGCCTACTCTATGCCCCCACACCCTCTCTACCCATCCATCCATTTATTCATACATCCACCTTCCCTCCAATATTCATCCATTCCACCACCACCACTTCAGTTGCCTTCTTCGTCCCTATCTTTCGTCCGTTTGCAAGTAGTCGTCAATGGTGGTGGGTCCCACCCTTCCTTCCTCACCACCGTTGTTCATGATTACTCCTCCTCAAGTCCCTCTTCCCCTTTCCTTGCAGTCTTCCTTCCATTCTCCTCCTGGCTTATCATTACTCATTTTGTCTGCTCTCATGTATGTATATATACACATGTATGTAGTATTTCACGTACAATGGCGCGTACGAGTCCCAAGTGTACGTCTCATTAGGGCTCCCATTCCTAAATCAGGAAAAGCACGACGAGCATGTTGTGAGACGATACAAATATGGACTTGCAACCGAAAGGCAAGTTGGCCCTAGCCGTTGTTGTTGTTGCTGCTGCTGTTGATGTTGTTGTTGTTGTTGTTGTTTTACTTAGACGCAAAGTTTGGTGCCACGTACTGGCACATGAATGAATAGAAACGAGTAGGGAGGGAGCTAGGGTAGAGTAGGAGTAGTAGGCTCATCGGAACCGCCATCGGAACGACGGATGAGGTCCCACTTGTGACTTCCACATGCCATTCCGCTGGCATTCGCGCACAAGCCTGTTGCGCTCCGTCGTCAACTAACGCCATAGCTATTCCCGTCGTGTCCCCCAGGAGAACCAGCGCAGTTCAGCATTATTCGTATTCCTGTCTCGGAGGTATCTTTTTGTCAGGCTAAGCTTCTCGTGGTGCGGCGCCCCGGGACGGAGCCCTTCCAAGCTCTGGCACGGGTTTTGTGTGCGGAGAAGTTTGGTCTTGGGGCGTGCTGTCATGTTTTAGGGCATCGGAGTGCCCTCTTATATTTTCTCTCGATTGTTACACAGTCGATAGGAATTTCTTACTTTCTGCGATTCTGATTCAGTTGCATGAACGGGTTGTTTGTTGAGGTTTTAATTACGATGGAAGTGGAGGTATCATAACAACTGTAGTTTATCCTTGTGAAGTTTCCTTCTCGGCTTGGCTTCTTAGCTAGTTTCCTCGTTTCGGGAGCTGTAATGATTTCTCGTTCAGTATCGACTTTTTTACGGGCAGAGGTGTGTTTCATGGTAATTGCGTGACTAGTTTTCTTGACTGCCCAGATAGGTTTAGAACTTTGTGAACGATTACGCATCGATTGCCTTGATTCTTGAGATCGTCTCCCCCCTGCAAATTTCCCATCGCAGGTTCTCAACAATCCGTGTTAGAGTTTTGGCTTGACGATATCGCGGATGGCAACAAACCTACAGTCCAGGAGATACTTAACTTACATCTAGTGGCTTGCATGATCCAAATTCTAAAAGCAATTCGTAAAATGAAATGCCTTCAGATTTTTAGGGTTTTCATCTTTCTGGAATGAAGCTGGTGTTGTCTTATTTTGCCTCAGTGGCAGACCGCAGAAGTGAAATCTTTGTGCAAATGAAGAGCGGTGTCGTCTAGAATTGATTCCGCGTAGTGTAGACTCACTGTCCACTGCTTCTCCAGCCCCATGGCTTTGGTATGTGCATTGTTTCACCAGAGAGAAACACTCGAAGATAAGATTCTGAACCAAGATGAGCAGAGCTGATTACACACTGTGATTCAGCTGGAAACTAGAAAACATCAAATTCCATAGAAGGACCAATCTCACTGAAGTACTAGATGCGGTTCATTTTTGTCAACTCGGAGTGTATAGGGTTTGTTTCACGTGAGTGCCTGAAGTTTTTTGGGGATTGTAATATTTTTTGATCGCAGTTATTTGAATCTTTGTTACAGAGGCCTTTTCTCTGACCACTGCGTCCGCATTTCTTTAAGCCTCTCTGGAGTCGCACATTCCTGCATCTGGCACGGGGACTAGCACTTCCAAAGGAAATTTCAAGTCAAACATACAATTATTTTCACGAAATGCGATTTCTCAATTTTTTGTTAACTTGATAGTCCTAAGTCAAATGCTCCTAAGTGGAATCATTGTAAGAGTGTCACCCAGAGATGTTGGAATATCTAGTATGCAATGGATTTATTCTTAAATATTGAATATTATTATTTTAAGCTTATTTAACCCTCGCCTGTTCTACACTCGTTCTGTGTAATTTTATTCAGTAATTTGCATGTTTATCTCGAATTGGGGTGTTGATGATCAGCACAGAAGATTCTAATGCTCTCCTTTGCATAATAGACTAACCTGATGGTGTTCATTGGAAATATGACGACTTTTGGGGGTTGTTGGATAAGTTTGAGAATTTAAAAATCCAGAGTTATTGTTCATACGCAACAAACCAGCCTCGTGAGGTGTGGAGGTGGAGAATGGAGTGAAGATAGATCTCCCAGGTTCGTACAGAGAAGACATGTCAGGTGGTTTCGTTGGTCTGGTGTTGTCATAGAAGCATTCCACTCGTTGTTTGTCACCTCCTTGTTGATTTTGCATTGTATTGCCCTAGTCCAGCATTTAATTCGATGAAACGATACACGACTAGTTGCTCATAGTAGACACCTATTTGTCCCAGCCCTGCCTGCTTTCCATTGCCATTGATATCAATTGGAAAATTGGACTTGCTTGTATGTTTGATTCAGCATAGAATAGCCAGAGGTCTGTTCCTACATGCCAGTCCCTAAACCTGGTCTTTAAATCTGATTTGGAATGCGAGCTTAACGTCATTGCATTGTGACAGTTTACACTGTCAATATATGTAAACCACCGTTTTTTTTTTATTGGAAATTGGCACTTCTACCTTCTTCTTTTTTCAATGAAAGTAATAATAGCAAGAAATGAATATAGTTCATACCACCAACCTTAGAATGCACTACAACTGCTCCATGATTATCTTTTCACAATGCGAAGAAATTGGTCTATTATCTGATCGGTTTGACAACTGCATTGATGTTAATACACACAGATAAATAAGTAAAACCACAAGCGTTTTTTGGAAAAAGTTATCTTTTATCCCGTCCCAACGTGGGCAACATCTAATTCAACTTGCTTTTGGAGCATGTTCGTGACGGTAAACTCGGGTAAAAAATGACGAAATTGTCGACCTGGCATCAGGAAAATATAAAAATGATAACGTTCAAAATCATGATCTGTAAATAAAGTTCTTGGATACACCCTCTTGTTTAATTTGACAATTGTTGTGACATCTGTTCGCAAAAGAAAGATTTGATTCAAGTAAAGTCAGCAAGACTTGAATTTTCCAAACGAGTACCATACAAAAACATGTAAAAATATAGAAATATATAAAAAAAATCAAGATATACCAATGCTGACACCAATGGGCTCAAAAAATAATCTTCTGAACGGTTGGTTAAAAAGAAATCCAAGCATAATCATGATGTGGCAGTGATAGAAGTATACAACTATTCTTTTTATTGCAGTTGAAGTATACAGTTTCATCAGTTGGTCAATAAACAAAATTAGAACAGTTTCGTGATTCTATGATCCATTAAATCATATTTTATGTATCAGCCGATAAATGCAATTGGGTCATAGTTCAAAACGTGAATGTTGTACGGATCTGATGGGATTATTGAACGTATTCTTCTGATGCTAATGTTTTATATCCAAAGATCTTGTATAAACATTCTCAAGCTGGTTACTTTTAAAGTGGTGTATAGGCAGAATTAATTTGAAATTTTCAATGCCTCTTTCTTTTTCACTTTGATTGAATTTTTTTCCCCCTCCTCTTTGAAATGGTCTTACCCTGTACATTATTTTTAAACCTTCAACACACATTTTCAAAACTTTCAAAACATTATCAAAGAAATTCTTGCATTCAAATAATGGTGTGGGTATATAACATTTAGGGAGTTTATTAATAGTGATACTTCACTATGTGGGTTTCTTTGCTATTTAAAAAAAACAAATGTAAAATTATACGCTAGGAGGTGTACTTTTGGAAACAGATCACCCAGCGCCAAAACTTTATTTGGAATTATCCAAGTGACGCCTCCATTTTTTATCTGTATTTTTAACAAGTTCCAATTTCTTTCGTGATTTTATAATAAGATAATGTAACTCGTGCTTTTTACAAAATTTCTAATTCTACAAATACACATTTTTTCTAATAGTATATGTACGTGTATACACATAGACACTCACATATACATAACTTCCAAGACAATTATATTCATATACTTGTTATGTTATTTTTCTCAAAAAAAATCATATTTTTCCTCTCCTCATTGCCTACGTTGTTTACACCATATTTAATATACATTAGAATACAAAATGGTCATACAAATTCCAAAATGGAATAAAAAAAAAATAGATAGCCTTACTTTTGTATTATTATTATTCTTCATTTTGAGGTATTTGAAAAGCGTACATTGGTTTTTTTTTTTTTTTTTTTTTTTTTTGTTATTGTTAAGAATACAAGAATACCTCTAAAACATCAAACATTAACCAAATACCTTGCATTTGAATGCAATTAAAGACAGTGAGATGACAAGTAGATAATTGTACAGTAGTATCTCAAAAAGGCTTTTAGGCTCAAACATGAACAACGGGCCATATGCAATTTTTCGGTCATTGTTGAGAAATAAAAAAAGATGTGCTCCAATCTATACAGTAAGTAAAGAAATCTTTTTATCACCAGTATAACAGAAAAAAATACATTTATATTAAAGAAAAGAAAAATGTCACATTATTTCAATTTATTTTAGAACAAAATGTTGGTAAATTTGTAGAGAACCATTTAAAAATATTCATTGAAGTAAAGTTTTTCAAAAACTACCTTGTAACAAAAGCAAGTAAGATTGAGTGGACCGAAATCGTCATAAGACTTACACACCCAAAAGATGATATAACCATAATACCATCCTTCAGAATTATATGATAAATCATCAAACAAAAACCCCAAATTGAAAATAATAAGCCATGCAATTGTATATTTTTTCAAACAAGAGTAATTTCAATTTGTCATTCACTAACATGAACTCATGTATAAGATTCAGAAAACATCATGGAATATAGATTTCGAACAATTGATTATCTTTCATATTCTAAATTATTGATTGAAGTATATATGAGATATTTTCTGGGATATAGAATATTTGATTTTAGTAAACACGTAAAATTTTGGAAATTTTTTAATTGATTCAAACCTCGACAATTGGGAGTCAATGTTCAAATGTAAGATAATAGGAATCTTTTGAAGTCATTTACAGAAAGTAGCATCTTTCGAGATGAAATTGAAGCAAAACATGTCCTATCTTTTATCATTTCACTCATTGATGGAGCCCAAGTTTGTATTGCACGAGTTTATTTTACTATTATTATTATCATAAATAAATAAATAAATATAAATATAAATATATATAGAGAGAGACGTTTGCAGGGTTACATTCATTAAGTATGTATGAAATAATTAGTGAAAACATTTATTCTGAAAAAATGAATATCAACATATATTCATTGTTTTTATTTTTTAAGAAAAAAATTTATTTTCTTATTTATTTTATTTATTTACATCCTAAAAAAATAAAAATTTCATATATATATATATATATATATATATATATACAGTTACATCTAGAATGACATGTGTTTGTTACAATCAATCTTATAAAGGGATGTGCTTTTCAAAAAAAGTTAGTATAAGTAAGTTAGTAATAAAGGAAAAAAATATAATCCTAATAAAAGTTACAATAAATGGTTCTAATAAAAGTAAAAACAATAATGTATCAATTAAAATTAAAATTGTACATTTTAAAGATCGAATAGTCTTCAATCAGATTAGATATAATTTTTTATGTTTTTATTTTCTTAAATTCAATATCAACTTCAAATTGTATATCAATTAGAATAATTGATGACTTTTCATCTTTATATTTTTAATTCAAACATTTTAATTTAACTAAAAAGGTCATTATACAAATGTTCTTTGATTTTTTTAATTTTTTTTTAATTTGTTTAAAATTTATAATCTTATTAATAGATTACTTCAATTACCTTCAGACAAAATCAACCAACATATCATTAAAAAATTACAAATAATATTAAATTTGAAATAAGCAAGTAATATTCTTGAAGATATTTTATATTTATTTAAAATAAAGACATGAAATTTTAAAATTTTAATAATAAAATATTTTTCTTGATTGTAAAGTATAATTTAATAGAAGCTGATTGTGTATTGTTAATGAGTGATATTTTGTAAAAATCAATTAAAAAGAATATTAAATAATATTTCAAATTTATAATTAAGTATTTAGTATTAACCAATAGAATTACATTTAGTTTTTTAAAAAGATTTCATTCAACATATAAATGTAAAAATTAAAAAATTATACATGGCTAATAATTGATTTAGTTAGACAAAGGCAATTTTAAAGAACTAATCCAAATTGAAGATCTAGACTGATAGGATTTGGAGAATAGAAGGTACATCTAAGACACCCAATCTACATAAGAATTGGATCAATAGAGTCTAGGTAATAAAAGGTAGGTTAGTAATATGCAATCTAAATTAAAAATAAATATCTTAAAGTCTAGATTAGAAAAGATTAAGTTGGAAAAGTATATAGTTGCTAACAATGGTACAATTGGTTGCCATCAATTAATTAATATAGTAATATAATCACAAAGGCTGATGGCTACATGAAGAATGGAGGACGTACAAAAAGAGAAGAAATGAAGGAGATAGTGCAAATTATATATAATGCAAATTTAATATAAAGTTATAAATTTTACATTTCTTTTTCTATTTTGATTACATTAATGGAATAAAGTTTGGCATTGGAATATATGTATTTATATATCAATATATTGCAGCAATAAAGCATTTGCTTATCAATCATTAATCTTTAATATATATATATATATATATATATATAATGTAGATTTCAAAGTATTTTTTTATTTTATACATATCATTTTTCATATAGCTTTTATTATTATCTATCAATTAGAGTTTTTTTTTTCAACTAGTAATTAGATATTTTAATCAAATATATGGATTAAATTGCAATTACTAATAAATGTTTACTTCATCAACTGATTTAAAAGAAATATTTTTATTTATTTTTTGATTACCTTGTATTTTTAAGTTTTTTTTGTAAAAAAGTATAAATTCAAGTACTTTGTAATATTTAAAAATTATAAATAAAAACTCTAGCAAGCAACGTGCTAAAGATTTAAAAAGCTATTCATAAACCTATCGTTTCAAGTAAACAAATAGTTATTTGTAAAGTTTATTTAAATATCACATAATTTTTTTAAATCAATTGTTTAAATGTACAAAGCCACAATTATTAATTTCTTTACAACCTCAATTTACAAAAATAATTGGAACTAAGTAAAGATTTTAAAAATATGAATTAACAATTTAGTTGAAGCTTTCTTCACTTTTACCAATAAATCAGGATTTTTTTAATAAATAAAATAAGTTTTTTTAAATTATAAATATTTCATTATAAGTTTCTATAAGAAAAAACTAATATATATATATATATATATATATTTATTTATTTATTTATTTAAAGTTTAAAATAATATACTTAAATAAGATTCTAAATTAAATTTATAAATAAATCAAAGCACAAATTAAAAAATTTATATAAAAAATAAATTAAAGTTTATAAATTTAGAGTGTTGCTAATTCCACCACAATTTGCCATCCACCACATGCCATTACAATTTCTGCCAATGCCACCACAAGCTACCATAATCTTGCATTGTAAACCACAATGCACTTTATAAATATTGCTAATGCACTCCACAATGGATAAAATTCTCATCCTTGATGAATGTGTATTTTACTACTTCATAAGATGCATTGTGATGTGCAACACAAGTTTAAGGCAGCTTGTCATTACATTAACAAAAACTATGATGGCATGTAATGGATGTTAAGTTGTGGTGGCATTAGTAAAAATTATGGTGACATTGATAAAATTCTAAATTTATTACAAGCATGTAAACATAAAACTTATTACTATTACTTCAATTCAAAGTTATTTCAAAAAACAAAGTTTGTAATATACTTACAATTTTGATACTCAAACCAAATTCCATAATTCCATAATATATGTATATATATATATATATATATATATTGTGATGGTAAATCAAGGAAGAAAAATAATACGTATATTACTTTGATGTGTGTGTGGAGAAAGAAATAAATATTTTATATTATGCATCTCTTCTTTTCAATGTGTGTTCTCTTTTCTGTTATTATTTAAAATCTGTGTGTTGTTGAAAAAATATGTGTGAGATTCTAAGTTACATTGTTTCAATTAAAATTCATTAGAACATTTTACATAGTTGAACATCAATCACTAACTTGTTTGTGCATATTACTCCCAATACAGTAGCTCCCAATGCTGGTGTACATAACTTATATCATACAATATTTATTCTCTTATCTATTCAATCGACAATATAAATTTAAAACAATTCAAAGTAAGTAATGATTTACATGATTAAAATTTGAAAGTTTGTTAGACAATGCACTTTCAAAACAAAGATGCACAATATCATATTGATGTGACTTTGCTACATCTAATGAGACTTTATTTATACCTCAAAAATAAAATAAAATAAAATAAAAAGATCAGTCAACACTGCACACTTAAACCAATTCAACAAAATTACCAAAATTCAAGCATTCTCAACAACCATATTGACAAAACACATAACACGTGTATCTTAACATGGCTCAAGCACACAGCCAGATTGAATTTTCTCGTCTATGAATGGAAAACTGGAGAGAAAGACAATAGAAAATCGGTGCTAAGTGGCGAAGAACATTTACGAAGCAGCGATCAAAGAGCCACTTATCGTTACGCATCCACCGAAAAAGCAAGATAGGAAGGCATTCTTCAAGTGAAACCACAACAAATGTGCAATCCTGCTTTATTTCATACCTTCACACACATGGATTCTGATTAAGAAAAAGAGCTCCTTCAAGCTCCGCATGTAAATGCAGAAGATTCGACGCACTCGTGTAGACGAGTGAGCACGTCGATCACAGAAGGATGCTCATGCTGCTAATAGGATGATTAGCATGAGAACATTAAAGCAAGCTAGAATGTCATGGACTGGTTTTCCCTTCGCAATAACTTTTAGCTCAAAGGGGGTAAGGACCAGACTACGACGTGGCTCCAAGGAAGTCAATCAACGGACGGGTTTGATATGACCTTGGTGATATCGACAAATTGACCTGATCAACCTGATTTTAATAAACAACCTGCTTCCTGTTGTCGGTGTGGAAAAAGGAGCTGCACACCAATTCTCGCCAAGGTACAGGATGCAGATTGCTACGAGAAGACTACATTGCTCGGTTTTCTAGAGGAAATCATTAATGGTTAATCAGTAAAGATAGTGTACCTCAATGAGAGTCTTGACCAACAAGAGATTAGGCACTCTCTACCTGGTTGAACTCTTTCATTAAAAAGTCTAGCCGCCCCAAGGGATAAAAAGAAGGCTATCTGAAAAATCCTAGCGGCCTTTCGTGAGGTATTCAAATCAGAGGTTCTCTCCCCACTTAAGTACGTATACTGCCTGGGTCTTCAATCAAAATCCGCACGTATTTTCGAACGATCTCGTCGCCTTTGGGACCCCGCCGCTTGTGGCACTGAAAGCAGTTGGTCCTATTGCAACAGCCATCCATCAATAAACGTTGCCCAACTTTTCTATGTAATTGAAGACACAAGTCCAGTAATGATGCAAGACTTGTAGGTTTTATGATATAAAATGTAGAAAAGAAAAAGAACCAAAAGTCCTCTAGCCGTTCACATCCTTGTTTCTTAACACAATATAACTGTAACATTCCTCCATTTGCAGCGCTAGGTACTCAATCTGAAATGAGAATAGAAAAATAGTACTGCACATCAGGACACTCATGCACGAACTCAACACTAACCGTCTTGGGAAGTTAACATTCTTGCATTCTTCACATTCCCAGTTACCGTTAATCCCCGGTTCTGGCCTCTGCCCACCGCCCATAGCTGTTGCATTCACTGCTGCTGGATCCCCAAATTCCTGACCAATGAGGATGTGGCACTAACAATCAGAGCTCTTCGTGAAAAGGATGAAGGTCAACCTCCCTTAAACCTTACCATCCATCTAGACCTCCCAGATAGGATGGAGAGTTTAAGGTATGTGTACCTTCCCAGGTGCATAGGATGACGGGAGATTGTAGCAAGGAAACAAATACTATGCTATAATACTGAACGTACCCGCAAGAAGTCGCTTGGACGGTCTTTAAAATCCTCAAAACGTAGACCTGGGCGGCCCATGATGCCTCGAGTAGACCCTGACGGGCTTCCGACAGCTCCTGCGGTGTTGCTTCCTCGTGCTAAATAGTTCCCTATGGTGTTACCATGTGATAATCCGGGTCCAGGTTTTATCACTAGGTTGCCTAAGACACCTGGGCCTGGACTCCCAATACCCGAGACTCCACCTAAATGGGACTGTGAAAGAAGATTCACCCCATTCAGAGAGGAGTTCAGTCCAAGTGAATTGGCTCCGGATAGAAGAGACGAAGCGGTGGACAGGCCTGGCTCTCCACCTGTTTGTACCCTCGACTTCATGGTCTGTAACCAGAGGGCAGCGGAGGCTAGGCACTCACCAGCGTCCCCTACTGGATCCGCGGATGTAGCGAAGGAGGCCACCAGTTGCTCTGCTAGTCGCTTCCCTTCGGTGGCAGCGCTACACAATGGAGGGCTCAACGATCAGTAGTCTATCCCACGGGAATGAAACTAGAATATTGGCATGGGTAGAAAATGGTTATTTGTACTGACATATTTGCAACCTTTCGGGACTTATGATGGTAGTGACCTGAGAGAAGACCGACGACCAGTCATGCCACCATCCCCGGTGATATAGTGGGATACAAATGACGGAAGCATAGGCGACTCAAAGCCTCCTCCCATCCAAGGCTCTATGTCTCCAACATTTACGTGGCTGGAACCTGGAGATATGGACATCCCAGACTGTTGAGTTTCAGCAATTCCCATGTGTGGAATCACGCCTCGATGAAGTATCCCACCGCGTTCACCTTGGACCTGCGCCAAAATAAAGCATTGATTTATGATGCAATACCAAAAACTGTATGTAAATCCTTTCTACCAAGATAATGCTTCATCCCCTAATCAGGATGCTTGATCAGGATATGATCTTTTTAGTGTTAAGAAGGAAGAATTCTTTATCGAACATTTTGGACGAGTTCACATCTATTTAGGAATCACATTACTGGTATTTGAGGTGGGACTTCTAGAAACCCAAGCAACTGCAGAAACATTCAATTAACCAACGAGAAATACCATAACTTGAAACTTAGTGGGCATGAGTAAATTTACCATTTGTGGGGGTAACCCCGAAGAACCAATGTCGCGGGAAAATTTGATGGTATCTACGTAGGCCTTCACCACTGCATCTCCAAGTGGTCCTCTCCGCTTTCCACACTTGTTGCACTGTCAATAACAGTATGACGAGCTAGTTTTAGAAGTTGACAGGTCAAAAACGTCACTTTGAAACAAAATCGCTTAAATTTCATTGATGATACACAGAGAGCCTTCTCACAGCAGATTCGTAAGAACTGGCGATGCTACTCGATGAAGTGTGAAACTTACTCATAATCTATAAATGCAATCTTTAAGACTCCGAACCCCACGTAGACACAAATGTAAGCAGGCGAGCGATTTCTCTTACAATATGAAGACTAGCTCTGGGAAGAAGACTCTACTCCCAACGTGCAAAGCCCGAATTGACTGACAGCGACGAATGGTAATAATGTTTTCATATTGGGTTCTGGATTCTCACTCTGAGTTGGACCTGTAGGACAGTAAGCTATTGCGACCTAAACAGAAGAACTAAAGGTCATATATGACCATGTTTATCACCATGTCGAAAAACAGTGAAGTGAGTAGTACCTCCGTTCGCCGGGGATAGTTGACATTGCCGCAAGATGGATCGTCGCATACCCAATTGCCATCTTCCAGTGGTCTTGGTTGTTTCCCTCGTTGCAGCAAGACTCCTTCACCGCTCATCTGAACCTGAAGACCTTGCATTCTATACATGGTCATGATATGTCCACCAGTTAAAAGACATATATCCGTGCATGCTCAACAAGTTGAGTGCTTCAACTTCTAAGGATTTCGTCAATCGAAACAACCTCTCTGCAAAAACTGATTAAATTCTGATGACTTTGAGTTCAAGCGTGTAAAGCAAGCATCAGCCTAGAGGATAAACGTCACTTCTGTCTACAAGGACAATCCGGCACGATCAGACTTTCAATCCTGCTATGAAAAAATAACACTAGTTAATTGCGTCCGACATATATGTCGTTTTGATCAAATTCTCTGTTTTTCCTCCCCCTTTCGACATGACTTATTCTCTTGAATATTATCCTTTTTTCTGTTCTATCCCAGTCATGCATATTGAATATTGCATATTCACAGTTCCATACCAGAAACGTTAAGTGACCATAAGGTACACTCCAGGAAGAATTCCGATGCCACAATCATGGAGATAAGGAAATGGAGGGGGTCCATACTTTACTACAATGTGTGAAAAAGCTTCGGTACTGTACTAAACAAGGAACTTTGCTGCTGTTGAGTATCAACCACGTAACATGAACTGCACGAAGCACAATGAGAAGGCATTATTATTCTCCGCCATGCAGTCATTCACTACTAATCTAATTCAGGGCGGCATTAAAAATTGAGACCGTAGGATTGTTCGGCGAGGGTCGTCATTGATATACGAAGAGCATTGCTGTGATGGGCAATACTTCTGAGCCCATCCGAACAATCCTTTTGAAAGGAGCATTCTCTCTCTGCTTTTCGAACATTCAGAAGACTGTAGGGATTTTTAATTTTCAATATTTTTTGGGTGTTCATTATTTTTCTTTTTCCTTCTTTCTGTTCCTGATGGCAGGAGCAGAGACACCCACTCGAATGCCCCAGGTTGTCAATTAACAGTATCGGTGAGAGAGAGCCTAGCTTATGATTGTGATGAATGGCTCATGAATACCTTGAAAGGCGTTGGGGACGTTTGGGCAGCCAGTTCGCATAATGACCACCAGAATCTTCCTCACCAAAGTACATATATGCCTGCAGATGATCAACAGTAACCCGACAGACTCAAAAACTTAGTGGCCGGCCAGGAGGATACTGCAGAAATGATGAGCCTCTCTCAAACCTATGATACAATAATGTAGGTCTATCATGCGCGCAGCGCTGCCAGCATACACATTCAGGCATCCTCTATCGAATTCCAATTTAATTAATTTATCCACCAATCCTCCACCACTCGGCAGCTTTTCCCGCATCCCAGTCCTCCACCCATCCTAAAACAATCAGCTCTGTAAACAATTCAAGGTTTGCACCGCGACGAACCTACGCGCAGAGCAACCACTTCAATGCAGGCGTTTTCGATGACTTCACTGCAGCAGGGTCCGAAATCTCGTCGCTCTAAATGCGAGTCGGTACCACAGCTGAGGAAAAAACTGAATTGCAGACAACCAAAGCCGACATTGGCCACCTCCACACAACACCACTTTTCACAATTCGATCCCCACAGTTTTAAACAAAAAAATCAATACAAAAAAATGAAAAATAAAACACTGCACTTAAAAATAAAAATAAAAACAACGACAACAACAACCGGCGCACACTTCCACTCCTGTCAAACCATACCTCGCCTACTACAGCAACCCCCTCCTCACTAGTTGGTCAATTGTGCTAACAATTGCAAAATCACCACCCTGCCCTCCCTCCCTCCCTCTCCTCAAGTTATACAACCTTTACTCACTCACCCCCACTGGGCAAAACTGAGCAACAAAATCAACGCCGTCTCAGAATCCACCCGAAAAACTACACAAAAACGGGAAAACCTGAACAACTCAACCCCGCGACGCCGCCCTGTGCACTATCACCACCACCACGCAGCCAGGCACCCAGAGAGGAGGAAATGCAGCACGCAGGCCCTGGGCGGACCTGAAAGCTCACAGCAGCAGGCAGGCAGGCAGGCACGCAACGGGAGCTCCAATGCGCGAGCGAGGCCTGGTGGTGGTGGTGGCGAGAGCGAGCGAGAGGGTAAGTAAGTGCGGAATCAATCCAGGCAACGCATGGTTGCCAAGGCATCAACCCAACGGAGGAGGAGGAGGGAGGAAGAGAGGGCATGATGAATGGGTGGCCAAAGTGAGAACGAAAAGGGTGGCCACACCTGGATTCCGCCCCCCTCATCAATCCAGTGGACGCTGCCTCCCCCGATCCATCGATCCATCCATCGATCCACCCACCCACCCACTCATCCAGCCTGCCTGCCTGCCGGCGACCGCGCGACCGCGCGAGCGAGCTTGGCTTCGGCCTCACCCAAGCCGCAGCAACAAACCAACCAACAAACCCGAAAACCCAAAACAATATCGTTAATAGCGGAAAAACAAAAACCCACCAACAAAAAACACAAGAACCAAATAATATCCCCCTCCCTCCCCCAAACATGTAATTATAAAAAAACGAAACACTGCACAAGCATCGCTGGGTTGGGGTGCCGTGGTGGGAAGTTAAAGTTACGGAGAGGCGAGGCAAGGAGATTGGCCATACCCAAATGCGGCGAGTGCCTCCCCTACATCTCACCTTTTTTTCCTTGTTCATTTTTGTATTATCTTTTTTTATATATAATTTTGGTGAGTGCATTTTGTGTTGGTTATTGTTTGTGCCTGTGGCTTGTTCTCATATTGCCCTCCACTTTTTGTAGGCTCCCATTTAACCATGGAAACAGACAAATTTGTGCCTAGAAGGAATAGGAAAACTAAAGTTATAAATAGAAAGGATAATCATCTTAAGCATAATACTACAATTATTTTTAAAAATGTGACAAGTTTTTTGATAGCTCGTGTTCTACATCTTACTAGGATCTATTGTAGTAATGCTAAAAATAAAAAAATAGATTAAGTTGAAACTATCGAACAAACTAGTTAAAAATGCTCTCATTATTATCCAAAAACTAATTTTTATATAGTGAGAAATTGATGTCAATTTTTTGGTAAATATATTATTAATTATTATTTTAAAAATAAGTTTGATCATTTTTTAATATTTAAAAAAAAATTATAGACATATCTTACTTAAACAAATTAAATCAAATAGCTGCAGGTAGAAACATATTAAGTAGATAATATCACCATTGTGAAACATCAATATAATAAAATAATATTTAAATCTTTAAACATTGAAATAAATAAATAAATAAATTCTAATGTATTTTGTAAAATAAAGTATTATTAATGAAATCATATTAATTTTTGTTTACATATAATAAAAAAATATTACTATGCTAAGACTAAAAATATATTCTTTTAAAAACACAAAAATCTAAATCTAAAAACTAGACATCAATTATGATTTTCAAATATTTTTCCAAAAATTTTGATCAACAAATATATAAACTTAAGGTTTCAGATATATAATGATAATAATTTCTAATACTTAATTAATATCTTAATTACATTATTATTTAAATCTACTTTTTTCTCTCTCTACTTATTTATAATAAACCAATTCAATGAGAATTTTATTTAATTTTTTAAATCTAAAAATATAAAAATGAGTAAAACAAAATGCAGATTTCATATCTTAAATTTTAGATTACAAAATTTTCTTAAACTCATCAGACACATAAGTAACTTTTACTTTTTATTATTTTTTCTCTTGTTATGTATTAAAGACTGTAATGAAAAAGACTTTAAACATGATTTTTTATTTAAAATATCAAATTAAAATAATTTTATCTTTCTAAAAAAAAATTAAAACATTATATTTAATACTTAGACAAAAATTTAAGATTTTTCAAAAATCTATAAATAATATGAAAGATTCTATAAAGACCTAAAAATTCATGTTTGGAACATCAATTTTTCTTCTAATAATGAATTCTACAAAAAAAACAATGTTTTTAAAAATAAATTCTAAATATATCTTTTTATATTTCTATATTTATATTTAACCATCTTTAAAAATATCAATTAGTATAAAAAAAATAATAATACTTAAAATGCAGTAATCAAAATTACATTTGATATTTGTTAGTTATTTAATGAGTATATTAAAATATAAGATTAAGTCATCTTTAAATAGTTTCAAATAAAGAATCATTTTAGATATATTCATTTATTTTGAGGTTTTGGTTTTAAATTCAGTTTTTTTAACAAATTATTGTATGTTTTGTTTTAGGATTTATATATTTCACCAATTAAATTTTAAATCTAAAATCATTAAAATGATAAATAATTAAAAAATTAAATAAACCGTATTCTATTGAAAAATGAATTTTAATTATAAAAATATATTGTATAATCTTGTATTTTTTTATGACTTGTAGACCTTATGAAAATAAGAATTATAATCAATTATCAAATTTGTATAAAATATTTCTTTTACTGAGCTTATTTCTTAGAAGGTCTTCAATACTAAAAACTTATTTAAAATATATATTATTAATAGATTCTTGTATTTGTGAACTTCAATAGCAAATTTTTTTAGTATATTATAAATTCTAATCCAAATTTAAATTTAAAATCAACGGTATTTCTACTTTGTATTCTTTGTAGGTAAAAACTTTAAAAAGAACCATAAGTATTTCTATTTTGATATGCTACGTTTAATTCATATCAGAAGATTTTTAAAAGAATATGTTACTAGATATAATGTTACAAATCATATTGAGTATAAGTTGTATGAACAAGCTTATTTTGCTTTAAAAAATTAAAAATTAAAATTTTAAAATTTTATCAATATTAATAATAATAATAATAATAATAATAATTTAATTTAATTTAAAATAATTATTATGAGATAAAAATATTTATTTTTATTCCTAAATTTATAGAATATGAAAATAAAAAAAATTCTTAGTAATTTTTTAAAAATCAAGAATTTGGTAGGATTAAAATCACTAATTATATATCAATTTGATAGTTGTATTAAATATTAAATAAAAAAAGACAATTATAAAATAAGTTTTTATACACTTTTTAAACTTTTATTTTTTATTTCCTAAAAACTAATAATGTAGCAAACAGACCATATTTGATTTTTGAATGTATATGTCTGTATTTTATTATTATCATTCTTATATATATATATTTATTTATTTTATTTTAAAATTACACCAATAATTATAAAAAAGTATTAATTAAAGCCACCATTTAAATTAAGAGAAATATTTTACTCTCTCAAGGTTTATGGTTTTTCACCAATGAAGATTGACGCACTTTTAAATAAAGCCAAATTTAATAAATTGACTTATAATTTTCAAATTATTTTTTTCTTATTCTATATATATAATTTAATTCTATAAAATTTATGCTACTAAAGTCATAAGAAATAAAATATTTTAAATCTTTCTTATCTTTTTGTATAAAAATTGTTTTGAAGTATATGTCATTTTAATATGCTAATAAATTAATGACTTTGGAAATGTTATATTGTTAAATCATTTAGAATAAAAAATTACTTTAATGAGTTAATTTATTAATTAATAATATTTATGAATCTAAATCTTGTTTTAATTTTTATTTATAATTAAAGGAAAGGGTTCTGTGAGAAAGTTATAGATTTTAAATCACTTTTAAGAATTTTTAAGTAAACTAATATAAATACAAAGCTATAGAATATTTTTATATGTTACTATATATATATATATATATATATATATATGTATATATTTTTTTTCTTCTTATACAATCAGACTTCTTAATACAATCATGTTTTAGTTATGGCAATTAATTGTAAAGAAAACTTATATCAAATAAATTTCAACTACAATTTTTATTACTTTGACCAATTTAATTTTTTGTAAGTGCTCTTTATTTTTTTTATAGAATATTATATATTTTACTAAAATTATTAATATAGTATTTAAAAAATATCTAACTTCTTTATATCCGAGCCATGATTATTTGAAAATTGGTGAATTTTAGTGGCCAAATTGAAAAAACCTCTAACAATAAGAATTATTTCTACTACTTAAATTATTGCTTCAAAAATAATTATATATTTAAATTTCAATTAAAAATAACAACTAAGATTATATAGTATTCTAATTTAATCTTATTATTAACCAAAGAATAATATCTTCACATCTTCTTTTTTGTGCCATTTGACTAATACATCTTTTTTAGAATACATAATTATAATACAAGGATACTTGTTAATAAATGGCCCAATTAACTTAGCAATATATCTGAACAAATAAGATTTTCATAATATGAAGATTTAGACCAATTAGATTAAGGTAAGTTAGGATACTTGATCCATTGTTAAAGACACGAATTATATAAAACTCTATACAAGCAATATACTCTTGTAATATTGAAAGAAAAAATAAAAATAAATCAAGGATAGTTATAAGATAGAAATTAAAATAACTATTGCTAAATACAAGATGATTAGAGGCTCTTGAAATAATGCTAAGAATAACATATGTATTGACAAGTGTGAAAAGATTTCACTCTTGCCTCTATATATGCTATCTAATTAAGAGATTATATAACAATGTTTTGTAGATTATTCAACATATTGTCATGTTGTAACAAGGTTAATGGATGAAAGAGAGAAAAAAATAATATATTATAGAAGAACTTATTTTCAAAAATAATATAAAATTACCTTAAAGATATAGATAATAGTTAAAGAAATAGTAAAACTAATAAATGCAATCATTGTCTTTTTGATAAAATTGCTTCTATTTATTTTATAGGGACATTACAAAAAAAATAAAAATAAACGATATATTAGCAATTTAAGTATCATGGTCATCATTAAATAAAAATAAATAGTAGATTCTGAAAAAATTCCCTAAAAAATCGAAATACTAATATATGAAGAGTATGAGTTGTGAAAATAGGTCGAAATTAGATCCTAAGGCACAAAATTATGCACAAATAGAAATTGCAAGATTCTTTCACTGAATGAAGAATAGGATTTGGGATCAAACTTGTGAGAGTTTTTTTGAGCATTAAATTTAGGCAATTTGAATTTACAATGATTTTATAAAAACTTTGCAAAGGTAATATTGTTTTAGATGACTTTTGTTTTTGTAATATATATATATTTAAAAAATTAT